TTTCTCCAACAAGTTGACGACTCAACATTTTCGAATAATCCTAGATTCTCAACGAGGTTGAAGAACCGAGTTTCGGCAGAGTTTTCACTTTCAATATACGCATGTCCCGTGAACTTGACTTTAGGAAGATTGAAGTCCCCTAGGATCAATATACGAGTGGATCTGAGGCGAGTAGATTGGGGTAGTCTTTCTAGCATGCGAATGTCGTGCTCGATGTCAGCAGTGGGTTTCCTGTCGATGGCTCCAACGAGACATCTGGAGGTGGTAGACAGTCTTACTGAGCACCATACCGATTCACCGAGATTGATAAACTCTTACTTGTGCACCTGATATTACCTCCATGCAAGATTGTAATTATATGGCTACTCCACACCTGATCCCTGTTTTTCTGTTATTGCGAAACAAATACATCATGTGTATTGCTAGCATGTGGTCCGTAAACTGAGAAGATATCCAAGTTTCACCTATTCTTGTTAGATGAGCGTTATTGGCAATGCTGAGTTCACGTAGCTCATCCATTTTGTTCGGTAAACTCGCGATGTTCATGTATAAGCAGTTTATGACTTCAATTTGAAACGTATGAGCTTCTCCGTTCTGTTTGTCTGTATGAGCTTTATGTGAATGCACAGGTAGCCTACCTAAACAAGGTTTTTCGAGTTGTTATCACTGTCCTTTCTACATTTATTTATGATCTAGACAGTTCACAATTGGAATGGTCAGCTCCAACGTGCCTTTGTGCCCGATCCTGGTGTCATGTGGCCTGTGCGGATGCATATGGATTCCAGTTGGCAACCGGCATCTATGGATAATAGATGTTTCTAGAGTTGCAGCCGCCATATGGGAGAATGCGAAGGTTACCATCATCAGCCGAGGTCTAGAATCTCCATCCTTCTTGACTAGTCTCACCACTTGTTGAGTCCATGTTTTTCGAGCTCCAAGAACTGCTTGATGTATTTCCACTCCAGAATATTAGAATTAGTGTGGTCTATGTCCTTGTTTTTTGGTACACATTACGCAGTGATATCCTTTCTGCGGAAAGACTTTTCACGAGATTCTTTGGGGATGTTCCGGATGAGGCAATATTCTTGCCTTCCCATCTGATTTCGGTAAGTGACTAGCATCTAGGATGTACTCTACGTCGGTAGCGTTACTGAGTGATACACTAAGTAGTCTTGGGTGATTTTGATGCTTAGAGTCCTTTCTCTGAGTAAGCCATATGACCGTCAGAGACTATTTTGAGAAGTTCGAACTTCTTGTTTAACTTGTATAATTATGGTCTACTTCGATATTAGTACTACTCTAATAATGGACTTAATTTTAAAATTATAGATTTATCATGATGTAGCTGCCTATTCTATAAGATAAATAGTAGCGCTGTTGAGATCCCTCTTCTTGTTTTCACTGCGCGTCTTTTTTTGTTTATCCGTTTTAGGATTGCCTCCATTCAGGTTTACTGACACCTTATTCCGCATACCTGTCAAGAGAATGATGATGCTGCTCAGCAAAACCTCAGTATTCGTGTTGCACGTGACACATACCTACCTATGATCCGACTTATTGAGTCTGTTGTAAACAGTTATTGTAAGGTCTGTGCACGCTTCGTGGAACCAAGCTTTGCAATTGTCACAATGCATGTCAGATGTAACAGCAAAACAGCAACCGGGTCGCTTGCATGAATTCTTCATGTCTATAGTGATGCAACTTGTTATGTAGATCCTAGCGAAAGTCTAAGACCGTAAAACAAAAAAACGATACACCAGAAAACTGATGGAAATGGATAAAAAGGGGTGTTACAGACTGTTAGGATAAACAGGAACTAGCCTTGATATGAAAAACTGTAAAACCGAATAGTGAGCTGAGACAAAGCCACAGTTAACTATCAAGTTGGGTAAAACCCAAAAAGGAAAGTAATTTACTGAACTTAAAGCTCAGGACAGATTCTTTAGATCAGAAATGGTACTTTTGTTGCGTAAGGACGCAGTTTGAGAAATGTTAATTACGTTAGGACTGAACTTCCCGTTCGTAAAACGCTTGCAGCGCTTTCAGTGAGGTGAGTTCAGAAAACTTGTTGCGGTCAGCATCAAACGTCGAAGACTTACATAGCTAATGATTTTTGGGATTTATTTACTGCTATAACAGCTCTATACGTCTCGGTTTCACGCACATCCTGGTTCTAGGGGACTTTAATCTCCCTAGAGTCAACTTCGCGGAACACACGTACACTGGAGGCGACAATTCAATTGAAGCTCGGTTCTTCAACCTCATCGATGACTTGGGATTGTACGAAAATGTGAGGTCGGCAACTCGTTGGAGAAACAGTCAGACACCATCGCGCTTAGACTGTGTATTCACTAACGAAGAATTCCTAGCCGACAACCTCTCAATCCTGGCTCCTCTGGGAAAGAGCGATCATGCCGTCATAGCCTTCAGTTTTGTCATCAAAACTAAGCTAAGGTATCCCAACAATAATTTGCGTTGGAACTTTAAACGGCTGAATGTGCCAGCTCTACATGACTATCTACAACAGGTGGTTTGGGATGTTCACCCTCAACTCGATGTGGATGGTCACTGGGACTTCTTACTGCACACGCTCTTATGTGCTACAGACCATTCAGTTCCTCAAACGGTTCCCAAAAGCTGCAAGCCACCTACAGTAATCAAGAACCGTACCCTTCGCCTGCTAAGCCGCAAAAGACACTGTTGGGCGGAATACAAACGAACTAATAACGATGGAGCGTATAGGCAATACAAACATATCAGGAACATATGCATGAAGGCTATAAGAGAAGACAGGCTTCAGTACCAAACAAAGCTTATGGACAAATTCGCCTCTAACCCTAGAAGCCTATTCCGTTATGCAGCCTCTCTTCGTCAAGCCAAAACAGGAGTTTCTCAACTGCTAGGTCTTAACGGCCCGACCAACAACGACGGCGACGCCGCTAACCTTCTGGCGGCACATTACTCTCAAACATTTCAACCGGCTGACATCAACTTTATTGACGACAGTTTCATCTGCATTTCCACAGGACTTTCTGAAGTGGACCTAAGCGCTGACTTGGTGTTCCGGAAATTGCAGCACTTCAGACTAGACACTTCTCCTGGCCCGGATATGGTTCATCCTGCCATACTGAGGGAGGCAGCCTCAATCCTGGCAACGCCGCTTAGCGTGATGTTTTCTCACTCGCTTAGCCGAGGCAAATTACCGGAAAATTGGAAGTTGGCTCACATCACACCAATTTTCAAAGGTGGTCGACGCAATGAACCTTCAAGTTATCGGCCGGTGGCTCTTCTGTCATTACCTTCAAAACTCATGGAGTCCCTGATATGCGACGGTTTAAATGACTATCTACTGTCCTTAAATTTCTTCTCACCCCAACAGCATGGTTTCAGGAAGGGTTACTCTTGTATAACCAACCTGCTGACTGCGGTGGACAAATGGACAAGCATCCTCGATTGCAAGGGAAAGGTTGATGTCATTTACCTTGATTTCTCAAAAGCTTTTGATAAGGTTAACCACTTGTGTCTTATCAACAAGCTCAAACAACTAGGTATCAAACCACCCCTAATCGATTGGCTTACTTCATACCTAAAAAATCGACACTTTAAGGTTAGGGTTAATTTCACTTTATCTCAGACTATGGAATGTCATAGTGGGGTCCCCCAGGGCTCAGTACTAGGGCCTCTTCTCTTCTTGATCTACATAAATGATCTTCCTCAACAGGTAACGTCAGACTTATTACTTTTTGCCGACGACGTGAAACTTTGGAGAGAGATACGCAACCAAGACGATACACAGGCACTTCAGGAGGATCTGACGCGACTTCAAAGTTGGGCAGACGATAACGGACTTACCTTTAACACTTCAAAGTGTAAAGTAGTCCATCTGCGACATGTCGCAAACTACAGTTACAACTTAGGAAACTCCTCTCTAGTAGTATCCCAAGTCGAAAAAGATTTAGGAGTCCTGGTGCCCCATGACTTAAAGTCTTACGCTAACTGTGACAAAAATGCCTTCCGAGCAAACCTTGCACTGGTAACGCTGAGGCGCATTTTTGGCCAGTTTGACGGAAGAACTTTCCACACAATCTTCAATAGTTTCATCCGTCCCCATTTAGAGTACGGAAACATAGTACTCCCCCCTCACTCCAAAAGGACAAGGTCACTTTGGAGCGTATCCAACGGCGAGCCACGAAATCAGTTCGAGGACTCAAATCTAAGCCTTACGAAGAACGCCTCCGTTCACTAGACCTTTACCATTAGAGTATAGGCGTCTTAGAGGTGATTTACTAATGGCTTATAGCATTCTTAACACTTCTGGACATCCTCTTAAACACCTACTTAAGCTTAGTTCGAATAATAACCTAAGGGGTAACACCCAGAAACTGGAAACACAACATAGCGAGACGGAATGTAGACACAACTTCTACTCCTTAAGAGTTGTCAAAAGCTGGAATTCGCTGCCGGCCGAGCTAGTACAAGCGACTTCTCAGGAGTCCTTCAAGAGGCAACTTGACCTATTCTTAAGGACCAAGGGCAGCATCACACTATGATTTACCAATTTCTTTTCCTCTTTTATTGTTAACATACCTAGGTTCCTGCCTGGAGGATTTGGTGATCCCCTGCTACTAGACACGGAAGCCTGTTAAGCGAAAGCTTCTTCTATTCCGTCCACAACCATTTGAACCATTTGAACCATATTTCTGCGTCAATCATCAAATATACCAAGATTCCTACATGAAGGGGTCGGTGTTTTGCTGCTACTAGATACGGAAGCTTGCTAAGGGAAAGCTTCTATTCTATCCACAAACATTTGAAACATATGAAAAATGAACCAATCGCAATCTAGACATAGATCTGGCGCAATTTTCAACTAAGCATGATGAATGAGTCGGTCTGTTCTGTCTTTCGTGACAAACTGAAGCGTTTATTTCACTGGGGTCCAATCTTTACAATCTGGATCATATTTTTTATTACGCTCACGGGTTTATACAGTACCTTACATGTCGCCCCTCCCTGTTCATCACTTCTTGGTCTGTTTCTTTCTACGTGCATATTTAGTTTCTTTTATATGACTCTGAAGTCTTACCTTTGTACTGTATTTGTTGGTCCAGGATTTGTTCCTCTTGGTTGGAGGCCGGTAAGTCGACGTTTCATCTGTTTTTCCTTTGTTTAGCGGTAAAATAAACTTTGGGAGGCGGTGTCCCAGTCTCCCAAGTTTGGGGAAATTTTGGGGAAACCTCCAAAGTCAATCTTCGGGGTTTTGGTGCCATTCCCCCAAAGTCTACTATAGCGGCTTCCCCAAAATGTGTCAAATTTTCCCCGAAATTGGGAGCTCAGGTGTCAAGACAGCTTCCACAGGGAACCAATTGCTTGTAGTTATCATTGGAGCTGTAAGAAGGTAAAAATCACTATGGAAGTACTAGTAATGCATAAAATGTGGAGATTTAAGGTTGAAATGTACCTGACAGCCAGACATAAAGTCTCATTGTTTGACAAATGATACTGATTTTTCACTCATTTTCACCCCTTATATAAATGTATCATTTATGAAAATGATATGTGTAGTGACTAAAGGAAAAGTGTGTACATCAGGTCTGCTTTTTACTTCAATTAGAAGATTTGAAAACGCCTCACGAATAATGTAGATAATAGTCTTGCCGGCTTCAAAGTTGAAACGCTGATATGTCAATCTAGTTGTTTTTATTTTGTAAATCAGTGTAAAGATTCCAAAAGCTTGTCTGATCAAGTTAGTTATGTGATTCTGTCACTTATACTAGTGAATGAGCCACTAAAGTTTTCGTTCAATATGGATCTTATTTCTGTGGTTGAGCATAAATATATGTCTAAACCATCGATCTCAACCTTAACACAGCTCAGTAGTGCAAGTGGTGTCAATATCCTTTTCTAATTAAATGAAGTTGGGGGATATAGATCTTCGTCGGTACATTTCATGACGTTTACGTTCGGTTTTAGAGTCAATAGCTACTAACTCACCCTAGTGTTTGAGTGTTAGAACTGTCCCGGACTCAGTTTACTTTCAGGTGCAACAGAAAGTATCCTTCCACAGTGTAAGAAACTGAGAAGGGAAGGCAACCTTAATGCATCTATTAAGACTCAAGATAATCTTATTCACAACAAAGCTACTCCACTTCATTATATTTCGTATTCCTGTCTTCTACTTTCAAAATTATCACGGTACCTAAAAGTTCTAGAGATTTCCGATAGTTTGGTTGGACGAGATTTTTAAACGGTAAAATCAATGATTAGGATGATTATCGATAAGTAAACACAATGATATGATGTGGCTGATTAATAGGTACTCATGAGAGCGTATTATTGACCTAAGCCACCGAACAATTCTAAATCAAAGACAAGACGACTAGTCAGATGGATAAAATCGTGTCATAAAATGATGTGCTGATATACAAAATATAAATATAAAATAGGCATGATCAGATATCATGAGCAACTAAAGAAAATTAGCTTATACGTCGCTCATTATCCATTCAATCTTATCACTTATTTAAACACATAAGCATAGGTACAAGAAGGCATCTAATCGATATGCGCCACATAAACCATTCGATTTGTGTGAGGGCTGTGATACTACCCGAGCGCCCAAACCCAGGCAGGTGGTTTTCTTAGGGGGCCACATCCCGCGCCTTTGACTTAAAGGTCTAAAAGCATTTCGAGAGGGAGAGTTGACTCTCCCCACTCTCGGCCGTACCAGGGCATTTGGGGGCAGTCAGTCAGTCAGTTACAACGTAGAGCCTGGCACATGTATGCATATATGCACATATATGCAAGTTGTCATACCTCATTAACACAATAAGATGAACAAATTCATAGAAGTAGTTACTTTAATGGTAGTAATATATAAAAGAGAGATTGCACATAAGGATGTTGTACAGTAAGAAATGAGGGTATAAAGTTGTTTTAATTTCAAGGTTACAAGGAAGACATAGAGTGTATACACTGACGCCATTATGATAGATTCTGAGCTGTCACCCAGTCTCCAACCATTGGTTACGATAGTCACACGAACCCAACCAAGTAGTCTGCATTTATCAACATGGCTCAGACTAGAAGTTAGTGACTTCAAGGACTGATGTCGAGTTTCGGTTTGGCCACCCCTGACTTTCTTCCAGCCGTCTCCAACACTAGTCAGCATTACGCGCCGTGATAAACGGTGTTCAGGCATACGTAACACGTGGCCCAACCATCTCAGTCTATGAAGATTCACAACCCCATCAACTGATTTACCACCGTTCCCTGATACCCTGTGTCTAACTTCACTATTACTTACCCAGTGGTCCTAGCATATACGATCAGTTTTTCTAAGGCATCTGTGGTCAAATACTAGTAGCTTACGAGGATCTTCTACTCTTAATTGCCACATTTCGCAGCCGTAAAGTAGAACGGAACAAACTGCCGCGAAGTATACTGGTCCCTTAATTAATAGACGGATATCTCGCCTTCGCCATAGGTGACGTAAGTTGGCGAAAGCCAAACGACAACTTCACTCCCTATCCTTAGTTCAGGTGTTGATGCAGGCCAGTCCTAAAGCAACAACTTGTATTTAGAGGGGGAGGAACGCATTCCAAACATTCTGGTATAGAGTTGTTCAGTGCTACCAAAAGACTGCATTTGACCAGCGTTTTAACCAAACAGGACTGTGTCATTTGAGTATTCTAAGTCGATAAGTTGACCTCCTGGTAGGAGATCAATTCCCAAAAATGCAGTCAACGAGAACGTGTGTCTATGATGACGTTGAATAAAAATGGGGATAGTGGACCCAGTCAATGAAGAACGGACTTTTAGGCCCAATCACTGGCTGTTGTATCACCAACGAATCAAGTTCATGTAATCGTATCTTGGATATATTTTTTTAAAAATTATTATTATAAGCTTTATTCAATATTATATTTTCGGTACAATATAGAATTCTCAGCACAAAGTATTTCAACAAGTTTCCGTTTCTTTCTTCTGGGTCGATCCTGACGATAAATATTGAGTGATAGCCAGTTAGATGTTAGCAGTCCAGTAAATAAACATCTGAATAATGTATATTCTTTTCTCTGCATACTGCCAGCGACCACATTATCTCTTATTGAGCTTTTAGTAACTTTGACAACGAAAGGTTGTAAACTTTTCAGAAATGCACAAGGATGGGTTATGCGATTAATATACATAATGATATATTAAAACAAACAAAAATAGATAACTTGTTGAAATATTTAGATGACAGGAACAGGTAGTCCAGATGCTCAAGCAGGCCGCCCACATAGTATATAATTTGTTCCTGAAGTTTTTACTCAGCATCCTAGCATCATTACTCACTGGACGTGTGAGGAAATCAGAGCTTTACTCTTATTGTATATGAATACCAGACAACAAGTTCTAAAAGTTTCTCGGACGTATGTATAGAACCAAGTTGGAATGAATAGACGATCCTCCAGTGCATTCTTGTTGAATGTAAGTGCCACCAAATAGGCGGCAAGTAGATACTCATTTAATTGCTTTTGTTTGATAAGTTAGTATCATGGTGAGATTCTCAAGTGTTTTAACAAGACAATCATGAATAATAACATGTAGTTATCATTTAGTAGCCTCTATTTTATACTCTTGATAAACAAGACAAATAAAACTTATCTGACCTCCGTTTTCGAGTTTGGGAAATATAATGTTCTAATATCCTGGGCTAAGACGACAGTCGTCCCATTCTTTAAAAAGACTATACGTAATCTATGCAACAATTATAGGTGGATAAATCTTACTTCAATTGCGTCTAAACTATTGACGTCTATCGTAATTCTTAGATTGTTCAAAGTCCGTGGAAAACCGACTCTCGAGGAGGAGACTGTCTTTTGTCCTGGCTGTAGTACTTCTATATTTATACTCCCCCAAATGCTAGGAAACCGCCTTATTCCAGGTCAACCACTGTAATTTTTGATATCAGGTCCGTTTTCGATCTGTTAGACAGATCTGTTTTCCGGAATCGTCTGTTGAGGACATCTTTCGGTCCGTCATGACTCCCCGGTTGTGGTCCTAGAAATGGTGCAGTTCATTGGCTCGAGACATTATCAGATATAACTGAGGATAGAAATGATCCATCTATGATTTTCTTCCGTGTTCTTTATAAAAGTATAGGGGACTCCTTTGGCTGGAAGAATTTTTACTAGTTTTATCTTTTTTAGTAGGTATCATGTTTTGAAGTATTCTTGTTCATTTGTTTTGATTGTACTCCACAGCCGTCCTCTATCTCTTCACAATTTCATTTCATCGTTTAGCGCATATTTATTTTAGTCCCCGTTCCCACCAGTCTTTATGTTTTAAAAAGATAGATAAATGTAAATCCGTTGGCTTGATAACTGTTGTACTTAGTATGGATTTTGTTGCATTGTGTTTGTAGTTGTGATAATTTGAGCCTACATCAAATTAAGAAAATATTAGTATAAACAGCTTTACTATCGCGACCATAGTTGTGGGGTAGGACATGGTTTTCCAATCATTGTTACTGTTGGATCTGGGAGACAGAAGTTCGTAAGCATTCTAGGTTCTTGTACATTGTTTCTACACATCCTGTAACTTATTTTTTTTGCTTACTTTCGTTTTTTAGTGTGACCCTTCAGCTGAACAGAAGCTTCAGTTCTGTAATGTTTGTAGAGGTTTTAAGCCTCCACGAGCCCATCATTGTCGAGCTTGCAACCGGTGCATAATGAAAATGGACCATCATTGTCCCTGGATAAATACATGTTGCGGTCATCTTAACCATAAATACTTTTTGATCTTTTTGTTGTTTGCTCCATTCGGATGCATCACCTCTTGTATATCACTATCGCTTTCTGTATATCAAAGTCCAGCAATCGTAAGTTTTGGTTTATTTCATTATTTCTCTGGTCACAGATCGATACACCCTGTAAACGACATTAATTTCGTTTTAATTGGTGCCATTTACCCGTCGGATTAGAGAAATTAACCTATGACTCCATCTCTTTTAAGGTTTTTCCCTGCTTGTAAACTCATTACCGTAAGAGACCGACAACAGTCCCAAGTGTTTACGGCAGTTTAAATAATTTCTCTGTGGTTTAATGAGTGTTTCTATCTTTCGTTAACTGAATCAATTGATGAGTAATATCACTCTAAAAGGGTTACATATAATTCGTGACGATCGCTCGTCAAAACAGTCTTTATTGACCTATTCCCTATTCCTTTTCCAGATTTTTCATGGCCTTGATAACATTCATCACATTTAGATGATCAGTGTAGATTTTACATGCATGACTCGGTTGAATACTAAACAAAGTTTAACCAAAATATGAATGGAATTCCCACAAGGTATTTTCATCGATCCAGTTTCGTTATCTGTGATACTACAACTTTTATTTTTGTTGGCAAAAAATCGTTCAACGACTAAGATTTTCTAAATAAGTAGCTCTCGAGTAATAATGCTTATTGATGTTTTTAGCACTCACGGTCTTGATGGATTATAAAAGAAACCTTAATTAGATCTCCAGTTTTCATAGGTATTTGTGCTTCCAGAATCTGACTGAAACAGGTGCTCAGATCTAACTGTATAGATTCGTCAACATTTGTAAAATTTTGTTAACAGGTCTCTGTGTTCACGTGTTCTTAAAGCTTATCAGCATATACAACTTTAGAAAGTGAGTTTTAGTTTCATGATTCAAGAAATCTTAATATTGCCGCATTCCCTGGGATCCGTGATTTATTCACAAAGCTTTCACTATCTTGGTGGACAGTAACACGCTACCAGGTGGAATGTTCTGCCAGAACTTGACCTTTGAAAGGTGCACTGATGACATTGCCCGTAATATCATGATAAAACTGTCTATCTAGGCAAACTACAGTTACCGAAATTATGTACTGTGAATTTCCGATGTTTGGGTTACATAAATGTTCAACTAGTTTCTTAAATTACAAGTTAAAACAGTTACTGTCAAGCCAACCGATATCGGATGAATTTTTGACCATAATTTAATCAAATATACCAAGTGAAGCATCCGTCTTTCATATTGTGATACCAGTGGTGGCTATTGGGAGTATTATGTGTCCCAACTCACGTTTGAAATGACGGTGTTGGTTGATAACTTCTACAATAATTTCCCTATTTTTAAAATGGGTTTAGATTAGATAAAGATGGTTCTTGAAGAGATATTGTTTCAAGCAATCATTGTTTCCATCAGACTAGAATTCCAGATATATCATCAAAGCGGTTTCTACAGTTAGTGTTGCATCTACAGTCT